CACTAATTTCAGAATATATGACTGATTTATCTGAATTAATGAAAAAACAATATTTTCAAGTTATATTTGATGGTATTTCTTATTATGAAGGGATATTTTCAATTCAACAAGCATTCCAAAACAAAGACATTTCAATTATCTTTGAAACAGATGAAGGTGTTTTTGGTGTAAATCATCATATCGAAACAGGAGAAAAATGGAATAGAGATTTTGGTTTGTCTATTTTCTGTTTAAGGAGTAAAAAATTACAAACACCTTCACTTTTTCGATGTTATAGGTATTCTTCAAGTAGACTAATTGGTCATAGTTATGAAGTGTTAGGATTTTGTACATATAATATTGACACATCAATTATGACAATTAACAATAAATTCCATGTTCATTTTATTGACTTTACAGGAAAAGGACCATATGTATTTGCATCAGAACTAAACAAAATCAAAGTCAATAGTTTCTCTGTAATTCAATGGATTTGAACTTGACTCTTAACTTAAAAATCAACTATCTTCAATGAAATCAAAAACATACATCATTAGAAAGTTATCTAGAAACCTCAAAGAACTATAAATACATTTAACAATGACCAAACTAAAATATATTCTGAGTCATATCATCTAAAAATATGAGTGATGAGGGGAATTTTTTTGTATTCGATCACTAAAAATAGAAATACTATAAAATAATTCACAGTATTTTAAATAATTATTGAGTCTTTTAGAATATTGTTGAAAAAGAAGATAATTGAAAAATATAGGGTTACTGTTATTTTAATTTTAGTAACTAAAACAGCTATAGAAACAAACGAAAAAAACCTTGTAATAATCAAACTCCCATCCAAAAATCAAAAAGAATTCCACTTGAAAAGTAGATTAGAAACCCTTTAAGATTTAAACAAAACTACAAACTTAATTTGTTAAATACTTTATTCGTTGAAATGGAAATCTTTGCTAATCAAAAAATTCAATGGAAAGAAAATAAATTTGTTAGAAGAACTGTTGTTGTCCGTGCTACTTTAGCTAAAATGACGTGTGCTAATGGAATTGTTGCTAACATTCCATCACAAGGTTCTTTTCTTGTTTTAAGATGGGGTGAATGTAAAAGGCATAACAAAAATTGTACAACTAGAAGAGTTAATGTTTTTCAAGTATTAGCTTTTGGTCAACCTCAATGGGTCAGTCAATCTCTGATCGAAAATGCTCAACGTCTTGCTCGTGTGATTTATGCAAGTACCACAATTGGACTTTATAATATTAGGTATTCTCTTGACTTCATTCCTCCAACTCGTAAAATCAATCCTCACTGTATCGTCCCTATAAAACCAACATCTGAAATCTCGAAGGTTTGTAACTCTCCATCTCTACCTTCTTTAACTACTCTTACTAATATTATCCCACAACTTTCTAGTTATGTTCTCCCTCCAGTCAAAAAAGATAAAGGAGAGATAGAAAGAAGAGTGGTATTACCAAAAATAGATGATTTGTATATGTAAAGAAAGAGAAGAAAAGAAAAGAGATTGTTTTTAAGTATAAGGTGTTAAAAAAGGAAGAATATTTATAATGTTTTTAATTTGATTAATGAAGAATTAATGAAGTTTTCATAACATTTTAGAATAAAGATAGACTGTTTCAATGAAAAGAAAAAATTCATTAAGAAGAATAATGAAGTAAGGAGAAATGAATACAAGAAGAGATATAAGAGAGAAGAAAAGATATAAAAATATATAAAATAAAGAGTTAGAGTGATAATGTATAGTGTGTGAAAAGATGAGAATAGAAACCAAAATAAAAAGATGAACAGAAAGAAATTAAAATAGAAGGACAATAATAAGGAACAAATGAAATAAATAATTTTAATTGTATTTTAGAGATCGTTTCTAAGTTATTGATAAGAAATAATTATCTTGTAATGTATAACAAGAAATGACTGTTTAAAAATGATAGTTTTATTTCAATAATAATAAATGAATATAATAATTCTCTTGTCATTACTTTTCTTTCTTCATTCTTCTATGATTCTTCTATTATATTTATTATTAATGTCTATTTCTACCTTTCATATATCACTTTCCAGAATCTAATTGTATCATCACAATTGGATATTCTATTTCTTCATTTCTTTTTTATTTATTCTTCTTCTCATTTCTTATTATTATTTTATTTTTACTTATTTTTCTTCTATCTTCTTTATTAATTTCTATTTCTTTCTTCTTCTTATTAATTAAATATTCTATTTGTTTAATTTCTTGTTTTATTAATAATATATTCATCATTGTAATATTTAATTCTCTTTATTCTTTTAATTCTAGTGTAATTCTTGTTATTTAATAATTAGTTTAATTTATTTGATCTTCTTCTTAGATTATTAATTTCATCATTTCGATATATCTTATAAAATTATTTTATTGATATTTAGAAATACAATATGATATTTTATATATTTCTTTTTTGATATCTTCTATATTTTCACATTCATATTTCCATTCTTCATTCATATATTTAATTATTTCATCATATATTTTTTATTGAAATAATAATTAATATATATTATTTTATTTATTTTTATTTATTTTATTGTATTATTTCATTTTATTATTATTTATTTCATCTTTCATATTGTTTATCATTATTTATTTTAGTTTATTAAATTGAATTAATGTATAATTATTTATTATATTTATTGTTATTTATATTATATTTTTATTGTTTCTTTCATCTATTCATCTTTTGTTCATTTATATATATTATTCTTCTTTATTTATCTTTATTCTTCTTTCTTCTATTATCTCTTTAATTTCTGTAATGTCTATTTTTCATTTTAATATTTATTATATTTAATCAATAACATTAATAACTTTTTATTTTCTTTTCTTCTAGTTCTGATGGTTTATTTGTTCTTCATATTTCTTCTACACTGATTTTCTCTCCAATTGTCTAGTTCTTCTAATGTCATTCTTAGTAATTCTTCTCTCATGATTTAAATTACTCATTCTTGTATTTGTTTTAGTTTCTTCCTAGATTCTTCTTTGATGGTATCTACTTCTTCTCTTCTCTAATTATTCTACTTGACTCACTTCTTTGGTGTTTCTGTTTTTTTCGGTGATGTTTTCTTCTTCTTCACTTTGTTAAAATTTACATCTTTGATATTTTCTTCATTGATGTTGTTTTCTTTTTCTTCTGATGATTTGACAGTTAAGTTTCTTTTTATTGTTTCAATCTTAACATTTTCTTCTATCTGTTTCTTAATTTATCTTCTAAT